ATCGCTGTTGAGTTGAAACTGTGTGCATCATGTAGATTCAAAGAATACTACGAATACCCTGAAAACAGTTTGAGTCCTCGGCTTACTGGTGATAAGATAGAGCATTTTTACGGTATTTTTTAAGTCAACATTCTGTATCCTCTAAAGGAATATGATGAAAACTAATTTTCGTATTCTAATTATAAATTTTTCATAGAGACAAGTCTTTTAATAAAAAAATATTTTTTTTAAAGAAAGTTTCAGATCTTTTGATTTACTTCTATTTTCAAACAAGAATATTGACTATATTGGTGTATATAAAGGATATGTATGGCATACTTTTATTATAACCATATCTTAAAATAGAGACAATAAAATCATTTGAAACGGCTTACGTTTAGACCTTTGTTTGTGCAAAATTTCAAGTGTCAAAATTCGAAAATTTAGTTTTTCTTTTGTTCCTGTAGGAGGTTATGGTATTGACTTGGAAAAATACTATAGCAATGCAGTATCTTAGTACCAATAAATTAAGAGTTCAAACTCTCTTTTCATGGTTTTCATAGTATCATTAGAATCTACATAATGCATTTAGTTCTGACTGAAAAATGTTTTGATCAGTTGAGGAACTTCTCCCGTTAATAAAATAATATTAGTACAAAATAAGTTATACAATTATTGTTGTTTGATTGTTTAACATCATAAAGCAACCTGTAAGCAATACAATTAATGTATTAAGTATGTGTCCTTTGTTTTTTATTTTTTCGATTTTTTATATGTAATCATATCATAAAGGAGAAATTTATTGATACTTGCTAACCTGTATAAAACACATTTTGAATTGTTATTTTCGTTCTTGTATTGTGAAGATAATGTATGTTTTTCGATAATGATGAAGAACATAAAAAATACACTCATAAATATCTTTGCTTTGTTATATTTTATTGTATTCGAGGCAATTGATGTGCATGTATATATATATATTGTCGTCCAGTAAAACTTAATATTGTCTTCATAAGCGAACGTGAATAAATAAACGAGCATCAGCGTTTATTAAAGCTGTATGAAAAGTTTGATAAGATACAAATTATCAGTTGTTATTTATATTAATAAATGAAAGATTTACCGATTTCTATTAATACTATAAGAAATGATAGGTTTGTTCCAAGTTCTCTTTTTGTTTTTGAATATATTTAAATAATTTATTTTATTTTAAAAGTCATCCAATCAATCATTCATGTACTTTTAATAATATCATAAATTCTTCATTGAACACAGTTGAACCAAACTCATCATCAACTGGTTGGGGTATTTATGGTAATCAGCAAACATGGGCTGATTTACATCTTCGTTAATTAATTCAATTTTTGTGAAAATCTTTTTTTTCTTCATTGAATATCGATGTAGATTATGTATTGTTAGAAAATTATTCTTTAAAGAAATTTTTTAGAAATGAATTTAAATAAATATGAAAAAATAAAATCGATAGTTGCTTTCGATTGTTATTTATCGATTGATGGTAATATTAGATATTGTGATTTTTATTGTTTGCATTCGAATGATTGAACTATACATGCATTATAGAACATAGATTAAAATCTTGATTTTAAAAGCAATCGGGAAAAAAAGAAAATTTTCTAAAAGTAAATTTGAATAAATGGATTTAAATTAAATTAAGATTCAATGAAACTAATCAGAGTCAAAACAATTCGATCTCATAATGTTCCTTATTGGAGATTGAATGACTTCTTTTTTATTTGTTTGTCTCATACAAGAATATTCTCTTTACTTGTTGAAAAGTGTTAAACAAAAGAGAATCTTCATTATATTAGAACAAGAAGTTTTGATCATAAAACATAAAAGACACTAACTTAGAGTCTATTGTAAGATTATTCGGAAATCAAATGAAACTTGAAATCAAGAAATAGAAATTGTTCTTTTCAAAATATTTGTCGTGTGAGAGAGAAAACTAAAAATTATCATGTTCATCTTTCCGCATATTTTCTTATATATGATAACTATCATCACGAACATATATTATTATTGTTTAATCATTCATAAATTCAAAATGACGTGTTTTCAAATCTTTTGATTAATAACATAAGCTTCTTGAATGTCTGTCATTTTTTAATTCTTCAATGGCTAAATGAATAGCCTTCAGATTATAATATTTTGTTATATGTTCCATAGAGAGTGCGAAAGTCTCAAAATTGACTGATGTCTAAAAATATGTTTCACAAGAGTAAGAAGTTTCTCTAACCAATAATAAATAATATTCGATTATTAAAAGGATGTACATCTAATGAGGAAACATTTTCAACTGTCAAATTCCTTTTGAGTTCGGAATTTGTGCATAAGATAGACCCTAGTGAGATATGAAAAACTTCAAGATATTAAATCCCCTTAGGCCTTCTGTCTAGAGTTATAGACATTCTACTGGAATTTTAGCCTAGGACATGGTATGTATGAACAAATTGAATGACGGTGTTTCGGTCTGAGATTTTGCTCACAGACAGGACTATGGATGATTAGAATACCCTGAAAATTTCAGGTCAAAAGAATATTTCCTTCCAGAGATATTGAAGTAACAAAAAAACAGAGAATCCTAGCATTTGTTGTCCTACATGAGTCATTTTTGGGACGTTAATATCTCGGGAAGAAAATGTTCTTTTGACCTGAAATTTTCAGGGTATTCTAATCATCCATAGTCCTGTCTGTGAGCAAAATCTCAGATCGAAACGCCGTCATTCAATTTGTTCGTATATACTATGCCCGCGGCTAAAATTCCAGTAAAATGCCTATAAATCTAGACAGAAGGCGTAAGGGGATTTAATATCTTGACGTTTTTCATATCTCACTAGGGCCTATCTTATGCACAAAATCCAAACTCAAAATGGATTTGACAGTTGAAAACGTTCCCTCATAAGCTTACGCAACTTCTAATGTCTTTGTTCAATAATTACAAGAAATGTATATACGAAAAAAGATCATGAATGAAATTTGTTCAATTTACTGATGTTCATAGTAACTAAGTATCTATTATATTATAAGAAAAATTTTTAGTAAGACATTCTTTTTATTTTTCTAAAATAATATATTCACATAATTGAATGCCTTTATTTAATTGTTCTTCAAGATTATTAATATCAAATTTTTTTCTTAACCAATATAAATAAGCTTTATTCATATTCATTTTTCTATTATATGGTTGTAAAATTAATTTTTCAAGTAAATTATAATTATAATGATCATTATTTACAATTAAAGTTATTTGTAATTGTTCATGATTATATTCTAATGAATTCCATATATCAAAATTATTTATTTTAATATCATTTGATAATAATGAAGGTTTTCCACGTTGTATAAGTAATGTTGCATAAGAAGATTTATTTAAAAATTTTTTAATATTATTATTTAACATAATTAAAATTTTTTTATTAGGATTACTAAGTAAATGTTGAATAAATTGTAAAAATTCAATACAAACACTTTTATTTATATATTTTTTATCTTCACGTAATGATGAAACAGGAAGAAAAATTGAAGCTATTTGTAATGCAATAATTGAATGATATGTTTGATAATTATTTATATTATCAATATTATTAAAAATAATTCCATTAACATATGGATAAATATAATAGAATATTAAATTTAAATTAAAACATGTTAATGATGATGTATATAATTGATTTGTTGAACTAGCATGAATAATAAATGTAAGAATTTGTTGAAATGGATGTTTATTATTAAGATATAAAAGAAGTAATTTAATATATGAAAGATTTTTTAAATGTAATTTATTTGTTGTTGCTATATCAATAAGAATAATGAAACCAAGTAGATCATTATGAGAAAGAAAATCTTCTTTTAAAGAATTATTAAAAATTTTTTCATAATCATTTGTTAATGAAGAAAATAATTGATTAGATGAACAAAATGAAACTATATGAGGATAATTAGATGATAATGAAGAATTTAAAATATTATGAAGATATGTACCAATTTTATCTGATGATAAATCAAAAGAAAGAATTAATAAAGACATTTGAAAAGATCTAAAAACTTCTAAAACAAATTAATATATATTATTACTTCGATGATTTTAAATTTTGTAAGCAAGCAAATGTTACTTGCATTAGTCGAAAACATATGATAAAACTATATTTTACTCTACAAGAGAATTTCGGTAATGTAAACACAAATTTCCAGACTAAAATATCTGTAGTTTTATTCGGTGACTATGAACTATGTCCTGCTCTGAAAGAACAAAAGATTGATTGAGAGACAATGAAAAAATCCGAATACATTTCCACCTAAAATACGCCATCTAAAGTCTATTGATTTTTCACGTGTGTATTTGAATGAATACGATGGAATGATACGTAGTAATGTCAAAAATAAATGATGTACTAGGAATCTTGTCTATATTTTAAACTAAAGCACTATTCAAATAATCATTACTATTTTTAATCATAAGTCTCTTATTTGACAGTAATTTTAATTCTATATTTGCAATAAAATGGTTTATAACAATGCACTAAAAAGATACCTTTTCGATATCATAAATTCGCTCCATGAATGATTCTTAATATATAAATTATTTTCAGAATGTAGCAAATTAAAAAAAAAGAATTTGATTGCATTGCAAGACATTAATTTAACTGATCGATTACCTGACAATTGTTTTCATTGGTTTTATTTTTTAAACAAATCATGAAGAATAAGAAGAGGTCGTTTGATGACACAAAACTGAACATTAAATTTTACTTATAAACATCATAAAGAATAATAATTTGTTGATTTTAAACAGAAGTGAAAAAACTGTTAGTACAATCTATATGAAATAAAAATGTGCATTACAATCTGACTGCTCTTGCTAATCATAGGACAAATTGTTGTCATTGTCAGTCAAGAGTAGAGTACAAATCTCAATTCAATATATTTAAACATTTCATTTACGATTGTGTTTCACAAAAAGAAACGATTTATTGTTGTTAAAACAAACACAGTAATAATAATCATTGTAAAATACATTGACATTTTACACTACGACGAGAACGTTTTTTTATTGATAAACGAGCAGCTTGATTTAATAAATCTTGTACACCTTGACGAGTTTTAGTTGAACATTCCATATAAGCATCAGCTTTGATTTTTCTTGCTATTCGTCTCCCTATTTCATTTGTTACTAGTGTTTCACCTTGTGTTTTAAGTTCAGCAATTTTTTGTGAATCAGTTCTCAAATCTATCTTACATGCAACTAATATCACTGGACATTGATCACAATGAACTCGAACTTCTGATATCCATTTTTTAGTAACATTCACAAGTGATGCTGGATTATCAACACTAAAACATATAAGAATAATATTTGTTCCAGGATAATAAAGTGAACGAAGACGATCATGTTCTTCTGCAGCAGTTACATCAAAAAGAGCCATGTGAATCTCGAAATTACAAAGTAAATATTCTACTTGAAACTTGATATATTTATTCACTTACAGTTCTCTGATCAACTTGTATTGGAACAACAGGTGTGTCGATAATTTGTCGAGTACAATCGATACCAAATTGGTTTCTTACAAATGAATGTAATAATGTTCTTTTACCACACATAGGATCACCAACAATAAGTAATTTTCTACTTGCTTGTGTCGCTTCACTTTTATTTGTCAGCATTTCGATCTAACAAAAACAAATTACAAAATCAAATATTTTCATAAGCAATTAAAGAAAGACAGTTTATTGTGATCTTATGAATCTGTTTATATATTTCTTAAGGAAAAAGATAGTCACAGATGACTCAGTGAAATAGTGATATCATATTTCCTATATCAGGACAGTTTTGCAATTATAAGAAGGTGTTTACTGTTTATCTATAACAAAGATAACAACATTTTTTTTTTGTTCTTTGTGTATATATATGACTACAATAAAAGATGATTCATGAGAAATTTTCTTTTCGTAGACTTTCATTTTGAAAAGTTCGTTATTCAAAATTGAACTCTAAAAGGATGTCTTATTAGTTATAATATTTAATAGACGAAAAATCGGTTTTATGCTACATATAAGTAATTTTTATATAGCAACAACTAGAAAATTTCGGTGATCTTTGAGTGATTCTGTTCAATGTTAAGATTTTGTTGACAATCTTGTTCTAAATCTATATCTTTCGTCAAGTTAGATAGCTCATGTCGTCAATTTGTTATCAAAACCGACCGAACGCACGGTTTACTTCTTTTTAATTGAGTTTTAAAATATCTTATCCATTAAATTAATGTTTTTTTATCAGTGAAGAGATCAATTTCAAATAAAAAGTCAATTTTAATATGTCACAATGTATTGTGGCAGATGATACAATAATGTTTCTTATGACTATTTTTGAGGCTACTACTTTAATAAATAATCGAACTTGAAAACTGAGTGACAACAGCCGATAAGATTGGTACAAGTGGTTTGAGCGCGTTCAGATGACTAACAAACGTGATTTCAGTGGAAAATGAACAGTTTTTAAAAGTTTAAAAACATTTACACACGCAGATACAAAGAATCTAGGAGGATTATCATACCCAAGCAGACAAACATTTTCAAAAACGCGTTTAAACGCATAAAAAAGAGCTTAAAATCCATAAAAAGTGGACGTGTTTGGCTCACAATCGCGGTTCCTGACTGTCAGCGACAAACGACCACTTTTTGCCATTTTTGTGCGTTTAAACGCGTTTTCAGCAAAAACATGCTTGTAAACTCGTATAAACGCATAAAAATAACATAAAAAGTAGTTATCTTTTTCCTTTGCGTGAACTTTGATTGTGATTATGATTGTGATTTATGAGTATGAAACAGATGACAATTTTTTATGATCGTCTATGGGTTTACACGCGTTTATCACCGTTTTTTCGCTGAAAACGCGTTTAAACGCACAAAAAGGCAAACAGTGGTCGTTTTTCGATGACAGTCGGGAATCGCGATTGTGAGCCAAACACGTCTACTTTTTATGGATTTTAAGCCCTTTTTTGTGCGTTTAAACGCATTTTTGAAAATGTTTTTCTGCTTGGGTAATAAACAAATAGTTTTCAAGCAGTTTGAACGACATCAGAGGTGAATACTATCACAGTTATTGTTGATAATCGTTCAGAAACCATGTTTGTATCCATGAATATGATTGAAATCGGACAAACTATACCAATAATCAACCGACGAGAGTTTGACACATAGATGGTCGACTATCTTTTGAATACTATCCTACCGCAGTATGCTCCTAGTCGTTCTCCAATCGGCTGTAGTGCGAATAAGCGTGCAGCATATGTATTGACTATGTCATCCAAATATAGCTTCGCCTTCATTTTGATAGAAATATTTCTTCATGAATCTATATTACACAGGATAAGGCAAAATTTTTGTAGCACTCTTAAGTCTCTCTTTGCTATGTGTTTGTTGAGATAATCAGTTTATTTTATAAATTTCAGTGCCCATTGGTTTCCTGTATTATTTTGATAGATTGATCGTTTTTTGGCTTTTTTACCGGTTTGAAAATGGTTAAGAGTAACTATATCTACAAGATTTGACTATTTGACGCTAAAAAACTGAAAAAAACTCTAGAAGTTCAGAACCTACTGGCAAATATGGTTCCCCGAAGTGTAATTGATTGTTGGCTATGTCGATAGAAACAATCTGGTTAAATTAATGTTAAATCAAAATAAGGAAGACTACGAACTGACCATACAAAAAAGACTCATCAATATGTCAAAAAACGTTTCTGAACAATGACCAAAGACTTTAAAAGTAGTACTCGATATTGGTTTAAATAAAATATATTCTCGTTAGATCAGACAAAACATTAGCCGCGGTAAAGTAGAAAACATGGTGTTCAACGATCAAAAAAACCTATTTACTAGAAGCAGTTATGTCAAATCAAAAAATGACTTGCTGTGAGGAAGGAATTGGCCCAATGCCAATGAATGCGATGGACTACTTATAATGGAAAAATATCTGTTGTGTATCATAGTTACATTGGATATAACATGGTATGGACTTGTACATTCATACTTTTCTAAGAACATAAATGCCTGAAAAGTCAAAGTTATTGTAATCAATCGTTACCATTCTATAAAAAGGTGGATGATGAATTTATCGGACACAAGAATTGGAGCTTCCAACAGAATGAAGCTAGCTTTTGCACTGATTAAAAAAGTTCAAGATTGGAACACAAAGAGCTACGCATTCTTCATTCCAAAAGAAAAGTGGCTACCGAATTCGTAGCAACAATGAAGAAAATTGATGTTACTCATATACAATGAGTAGTTAATTTCTGGTTCTAATTGATTTCTTTTTTTCCTCTTCGATAACGTATAATTATCCAAAAAATGAGCAAACACATTTGTCAATACCTTTTCTGTTTTTACTAAGACTTTCATACAAGTATCCTTTCTAGTGAGCATCAACGATTTAATATTGATGAATCAACTTCAAACTATAAAAATAAAAATTTTTGAACCTATAGTTCGCAAGAGCATGAAATATCTATTTTTATTGATGCTCTCCAGTAACTTATAAATGGATAATCATTGATCAGACATGTTCTACAAAGACTTTTTACTTAAGAGTTAATATGAAACGAGCCTCTTAATACGCTCTATCTATTAAATGCAACATTATGAGAGATGCGCAGATCCAGCTAACTATTCATTGACTCAATGACTACACTAGATCAGTATTCACTGATTTACCTGAAATATCCATACTGTATAATTGTGTTGATACTTCAACGAATATAGATCCAGTGTATCAGTAGATTCACTATTAGTATTTCCGTATTTTCACTGAAGTCACACATCATTAGCCGTCATACGTCTCAGGCAATTAATCTGCCTATCCGGATGAGCAATTATTCGTGTATATCAAGGTTGAACAAGAACCTTGATGACTATTATCTATTCTGATAAGACTTGATGAATTATCAGTAGGTGTTGAGTTATATTCTAACTTGAACAGTTGTGAAATGTAAACAAGTACATTCTCAGAAATAATAATCGTTTCAATCATATCTACATAGAATCAGAAAAAAATAAACAATATATGAGTCTTGTTGATCTTGTGATAAAAATTCTAAAAGCAATCTCATTGCATAGGAAAGTCTTATAGTATTATAATTGATTGTTTAGAAAAAAAAACATATCAACAATATAAAATTTCAGCTAGCACAAAACACAATTTTGACGTGATTTTCTATGAGAATGATTTCTAAGTGATAAACGAGCAGCTAGAATAAATAAATCTTGTACATCTTTACAAGTTTTATCTGAATATTTCATATAAGCATCAGCTTTAATTTGTGTTGCTATTCGTTTTCCAATTTCAGTTGTCACCAGTTTTTCACCTTTGTATTTTAATTTTGCAATTGTTCGTGAATCTGTTCTCAGATCTTTTTTTACATGCTACTAAGGTCACTGGACATTGATCACAATGAACTCGAACTTCTGGTATCCATTTTATAGTAACATTCACAAGTGATACTGGATTATCAACACTGAAACATATGAGAACAACATGTGTATTAGGATAGGATAATTGACGAAGAAGATTATAATCTTCTAAATCAGCTGTATCAAAAAGAGCTAATTCAATCTATAAATAAAGAAAATTATTGTTATTTAAAATAAAAAAAAAGACTTTCTATTGACTTGCTGTTTGTCCATCGACTTGAATATCAATTACATGTGTCTTAGAAATAGTAGCATTAGACGTTTGAATAAATTGATTGTCTTTATAAGCAACCCTAGTCGACTTTCCCTAATGAAATCCCCAGGGAGTCCCTACAAATTGTGAAATCCCTGAGGAGTCCGTTACGGGACCCCCCGGGAGTTAATCAAAAACTCAGCAAATCTGCTAAAGGGAGTTTTTTGGGAGTTTTTGAAAACTCCTAGGCACTCCCAGGATGATCATTTGAGGAGTCCCTAGGAATTTTCAAAAACTCCCAAAAAGCTTCCTCCAGCAGATTTGCTGGGTTTTTGATTAACTCCCGGGGAGTCCCGTAACGGACTCCCCAGGGATTTCACAATTTGTAGGGACTCCCTGGGGATTTCATTAGGGAAAGTCGACTAGGGAAGTAAAAGAGATGTTTTACCGCACATACTATTCCCAACAATAACTAATTTTCTATAGTCTTGACTAAGCTGATTTTTAGGAGTAATCATTTTGAAATAGTGAATAAAACTCTTTCACATTATTAACGAAGTAAAATTATATTTGATTGAATTTCGGTGAGAAACGACACTCAGGCAAATAACATCCAATTTTACTCTCGGTATTTATGTACTCGAAATTTATTGTTTTTTTTTCAACATATGTTATCAAGAGAGAAGGAAAACAAATGCCTTATCCATGCTTTGATATCATGACTTTAGCATGAAGACAAGATTTATTTACCAAGTTTATTTGACAAATGTTTCTTTTCAACTATCATAAAAGATAAAAATAGTTGTTTTCTTGTACTTGTTTAAATAGCTCAAATCATTAATGATTTATTCAGAATTTTTTTTTCGTATTTCACACCGATGATTTCTTTAAAAGTGTATGAACACACATCTTTGAAGACAAAAGTATGTAGAATCAAACATTAATCAACAATTTTTCTTTTTCGTCAAAAATCCTTTTATTTTTCTGTATATTATTTGAAAAATTTGAAGTCTGATTTGTTGAATCTTTCTTAGTTAATTGAGTTTAATAATACTAATTAATTACAAATACTTTCATCCGTGATATTTTCTCTTTTTCTAAACAATATATATTAAATAAATGATTCAAAAAATAATCATTATATATTTAAATTATAAATATTTTGTCCGGTATATTTATAAAAGAAGAGAACAAATAGTATCACCAATGTGATTTATGATACTTATATATATATATATAAAGTTAAATAGCACAATATATTCGAGCAATTAGAAGAAAAAAAATGACCAATATAAAATTTCATTCAATACAAAACACAATTGAGACGTGATTTTCTATGAGAACGATTTTTAAGTGATAAACGTGCAGCTTGAATAAATAAATCTTGTACACCTTCACGAGTTTTAGCTGAACATTCCATATAAGAATCAGCTTTAATTTGTGTTGCTATTCGTTTTCCAATTTCAGTTGTCACCGGTTTTTCACCTTCATATTTTAATTTTGCAATTGTTTGTGAATCTGTTCTCAGATCTTTTTTACATGCAACTAATATTATTGGACATTGACCACAAAAATGTCGAATTTCTGGTACCCATTTCTCAATAACACTTGTAGCTGATACTGGACTATCAACACTGAAACATATGAGAACAATATTTGTGTCAGGATATGATAATGGACGAAGACGATCATAATCTTCTTGACCAGCTGTATCAAAAAGAGCTAAATCAATCTATAAGTAAAGAATATTGTTATGACTTACAAAACAAAAACGACTTTCTATTAACTTACTATTTTTCCATCAACTTGAATATCAGCTACATATGTATCAAAAATAGTTGCATCATGTGTTGGAATAAATCGATCATCTTTAAAAGCAAATAATAGACATGTTTTACCACACATACCATCACCAACAATAACTAATTTTCGATGTTTTCGAGCATTTCGATTTGTAGTATTAGTTGTCATCTAGAAATGAATAAGATTTACATTTTGTTTTTTTTTTCTCTAACGTTGTTATATCCAATGTAATAAATGGCATCGCGAACTAAAAGGTAAAAAGAAAAAAAAAAAAGCGACTCGCACAAGTCGCTATGTGTATGTGTGACTATAAAAGAACGTCATTTTTCTTTGATAACATGATCAGAATAAAAAAAAATAAAGAAAGAAACGAACGAAAAAGAAAAAAAAACTCAGAATTACAATCATTTGACTCATTTTTTTTTCTCTCCTTCAACAAATTTATGAATCGAGAAGACAGTTGTGATTTATTGAGAAAGACTCCGATTGTGTTAAACATATGTATACGTATATTTAAGAAGAAAAAAAAAATGAAGTGCGATATAATGTATTATATTTTTAGCAATTATTCATGTACCTTGAAGAAGAGTAGTTTCTTTGCTGAACAAAAAAAAAAACAGCTCGTTGTTTCGTTTTTTTTTTCTTGTTCTAAAAAGAACAAAATCATAAAACTTTGATGAATGGGATTTTTTTGTTTCTTCGACAATCAATAAAAATGAATGTTAAACTATGGTTTTTGTATAAAGAAAAATAGTTAAACAAATTATTTTACAAATTTTTAATTCATGTTAAATTGAATTTTTTTCTCTTTATTAATCAAAGTAAATTATTATAATAAAATGAAGATCATAGTATATCTTAAGATGAAGTCAATCGATTAGAAAAACTATTCATAAATTGATTATTATTATGAATTATTTTCGAATCCTTATTGTTGAATATAAAAAGCAAAACAAATGAAAGAAAACTTTTTATTTTAATTCGAAAATTTTTTAAAGATTCTTATAAAAAAAAATAAAATTTATTTCAGAAACTCTAAAATAATTTTTTAAAATTATTATTTCTGAAATCGACAACAACAAACTCTTTGTAATTTTGATAGATTATGATATCTATTTATCCAGGTAATAACTTTCGAGAAACTACAGTCGTTTCTTTTTTTGAAATTATTGTATAATGGTGTATTGTGTCTAAATGAATGAATATTTTTGAAATCTATTAAAACTTTACAGAAATCAGTCGACTTCGATGCACTTTGATAGTGTTGATACCTTTGACGAGAAAAGATGTCAAACTTTTAATCATCGATCGATATGATAATTTGCTTAGAACTGAGATTTGGTGAAATTAGAAAAAGCTTGAAAGAGGTTTTTTTCCCCCCAGTGACGGTCTTTAAGGAATTATGACCTTTTTACTGAATTTTCGGCTTATGACAAGGTATACATAGAAAAATTAAAAAGAAAGATTTTGTATTTGAATTTATGTTCATAGCTAGATCTCTTGATCCTTAGAATTTCTTTAAGGTTTCAGTTAAATCAGATGATTTTTTTGTTCAACATATTAAATAATGAAGAAAAGTTAGCGTGATTGTTTTTTTTAAAGATTGAATATTTCGAAAAGGAATCATCTATTTTGACTCAAATTTCACCTATATACTCAGGAGTAAGAAGCCTATTTATGCGCAAAAATCAAGGTGAAAAATAGTTGTTTTTGATTTCTCTATGAATATCTTTTCATAAGCTAAAAGTCCAATAAAATGGTCATAACTTCGTAAGGTATGTGTATGAGAAGAAAATCTTTTCAAGCTGTTTCTATTCTCAATGAATCCCGCTTATAAGCAAAATATTACTTCGATCGATGATTAACAGTCGCTCATGTTTCCTCATGAATCGTCTATAGTATCCACAGAGCCAAAATCGGTCCTAGTTATGAGATAAATTTATTATTCTAGATGGAGCTGCAAAAAATTTTCATTGATAAAATATATTCTAAAATTGTTTTCTTCTCGACTAATCTGAATTTGGGTAGAAGAGACTGTTTGCAATTGCTTATAATTGAAATCGAAAATCGTAAGCGCCACTGCTGATTTATATGAGTACTGGCATATATCGATAGTAGTCCGAACAAATGTAGGATATGAAAGACAGCAATAGTAGACATACGTCAAATGTAGAAAATCAGTCTCAAACATATTTATTTGATTATTGCTAATACCAAAGGAAAACTATGAAAAGGTTTTGTACCTAACTGTTAAATAATTTAGCAAAACCAAATTTTTTTTTTTTGAGATGTACAAGGAAATATTTGTGTATAAATGTTTTTAACATTTCAATCGATTTCATGAGATATTCGTAATGTCTGATATGTATATTATCAAACTCCATCTAATTCATTGATTTGAACTAGCCGTTATCTGAAGATGTAATTGTCAAGTATACATTTCAGGTCTGATAGGATGCAAATACTTCACCAGTAGTAAGCAAATGTAAAACAAAACGACATAGATAAATCAATAGATAATCCCTTAGAGACTTTTCTCAAAATGTATATAATACACAGATCAACGTAGAACTTATGAAAATATGTCAATATGTGAATGTTCGTATTTTTAAGTACTATCATTAACAATTATTAATGTTAATACTATTGATATTTTATTTATGTCTTGTACTTGATCACTACAAGATCAAATAAGTCTCAAGAAGTCATATTTATTTGTATGAAAGATATTTATTAAAGATTTCAAACGATAAAAACGAATCAAACTAGAAGAAAAGAGATCAATAATTTATTTTTTACAGATATATTCATATTTCAAATGTCTTTCGTCCATCTTGACTAAAATCATTCGATATATCACTTAATCCGTTATAAATACAAAACGACATTATTCGTTTACATTAGAATTCACATAGTCAAAAATACCAACTTTATGATTAATCTGTTCATAATAAGAAAAACGAACTTATATAAAGCAGACAAAAAAAAAACTATGAAATACTAATAAATCAATTGTCAATCAACTAGATTTTACGTTTTGTCGTCTTCACAATTTTGAAATGACAAATCTTCATTTTTACTATCTTTATGAAATCGTTCTTGAATTTAACAATTTGGTTTTTACATTCATTTCGATGAAATTATTATCAATAATCAATTCTGATAGATAGCTTCCATAATTCATAAAATAGTCGTCACATGATATGAATCAATTATT